CTTACTGTGATTTCACATGTATTCCGTGACAGATGCGATTCCACGCCGAAGTTCCGTAACGAGGAGGTCCCAACTTCAACAGAATATGAAGTATGTATACTACTATATTTTTATATAATTGATGATCTGCTTCCAGGAAGTCTAATTCCAAGAAAGCATGAGTCCTTTTGTATTTATCATCATCAGCAGAATTTATTTTAAAGGATGTATAACTGTGTAACATAGCGTAAATATCAAACGATTGACAGCCTGATGAAGGATATCACAATTAAGCCTTACGTTAAGGAAACTTGATGCTGCATGTGACATGTCAAACATTATTTATTGGTTAATATTGTGGTCAGTGAAGAATTTCTAAAAGGTACATTCGGTGGTACACGCACTTGTTAGTTATTCAACTGTCGGCATCATTATATCCTTATTGTCAGGATTTTAATATTATGTTTTTTTTTCCACTGATATTTGAGAAAATGCGTATATGTATAGCGGTGTTTTAACCATCGTCATCGACAGGAGTTTTATGATTGATAAATGTCATAAATCAGAGACTGTTGTTGTATTGTAGATCAGCTTGTTCATGGAGGAAAACAGTACGTATCCGGTATCATTACTTATAGGAGGCCTAAGGTGTGTTTGGAAGAGTTATAGATAAAGAGAAGTAACTGTCGAAAGCTTACCATCCAGTTTGGTTTTCTCGTTAGAATCTATGCAGTTCGTTTGTTAAGTATTGGTACCAAGTTGAAGAACAATAATTCTGTTCATAAATATATACACCCGAGGAAAGAAAAGCATCTTATCATAAAATTTTGTCTTGAAATTGCTTTTAGAAATTTCTTCTACGCAAAGATATATTCTTTACTTGTATCACATCAGAGTTAATCACATTCAGTACATCTAAGGAATTATCGAAAGTTATTTTGTGTTCTGTTCGGTCGAGGGGAATTACCAATACAATCGTGAGGATCACTTGTTGTACTGTTGCTGTTTTCTTAAGCTTGTTATTTTGTATTAAGTTAACACTTAACATGTACAAAACCATTTCATCACTGTTCGCTTTACGTACAAACGACGATAAAAAGGAGCGTCTGGATGTCTTACGTCAATTACCGGAGATAAGAATATTGTCTACCGTCTAGAAAACATTTTGTGATATTTCCCTCACCAACATTTTGGAGATTAAATTCGGATCAGGGAGCTAGCAGCAATTAACTTGTTGAAAATAGATTATCCTGGAATATATTTGGTCATGACTTTATTCCATGTGTATGTAGTTTACGTGTACACTGTCTGTAATTAGGATAAACTTATATAACATCTATATAACATGGAAAACCTCTAGTCATAACATGCCTTATAAACTATCTCTTTAAGTGAAAGTATACTTGTATGTCCGATTATTACTCCATCCCAAGTCTATATAATAGACATGTATGTCGTAAATTGTCTCCAAATTTAATGGTAAAAATATCACACATAGAAATTGAACGCTCCTGTTTAGGACTCCATTCCAGGCTTCTAATGAATATAATAATGAATTATAACTTTATAAAGTTTAAACAATTATCAAATTATGACCTAATTCGCTACTTTATGTTCCTAAACAAGAACGCGAAATTGAATCTTCTCACGGTAAAATATAGCATGTTAGGGTAAGGACTGTAATTTCGGAGACAAGACAGACACTCTTAAAAACACAAGTGACAGATACAGCCCACAAACATCTAATCATAGTTTATAGATTTTAGTTTCAGAGACAAGACAAACACTCTCGTAAAACAGGTCATTGAAACATCCAACAAATATCCCATCACAGTTTACATATTATAGTTTCGGAGACAAGACAGACACTCTTGTAAAACAATTCATTGATACCTCCAACAAATATGCCATCACAATTTACATATTGTAGTTTCAGAGACAAGACAGACATTCTCGTAAAACAGACCATTGATACCTCCAACAAATATCCCATCACAGTTTACATATTATAGTTTCGGAGACAAGACAGACACTCTCGTAAAACAGGTCATTGAAGCATCCAACAAATATCCCAACACAGTTTACAATATTATAGTTTCAGACACAAGACAGACACTCTCGTAAAACAGACCATTGATACATCCAACAAATATCCCATCACAGTTTACATATTATAGTTTCAGAGACAGGACAGACACTTTAGAAGAAAATAGTGACAGATACTACCTCACCTCCACCATTAACTTTTCACATATTGTAGCTTCCGGAACAAAACAATCACAACAGAAAACGGGTGACAACTGTAGTTTTATTTTTTGTTTTATCTAAGTTAAACATTTTGAAATACATAATTTGGCTTATATGAGCATATGAGTCCACGGAACTGATAATTTTGAATTGGTAAGTAATATCAATTTTCTTAAAGATAACTTTCCTACCGATATCAGTACAGCGTGTAACATACATACAATCATTCATTCCACGTCCCTTTTCTATGATTTGCTGACTATCAGAACTGATCATGTTAAGTTGTCATCATAGATAGGACCTTGGAATTCAATATCACCTCCCATTTATTGTCTTACTTCCATCAAGGTATGGTTGGTTCTCCGAGCGGACGTCAACAGATATAGAACCATCTACAACACTACGTGGGTTTTTTCCGCTGGATTGTACGTAAGTCAGGAGAGTTGAGAGTAATCGATATCAACTGATATGCTTTGTTTCAAAATGGTTATAAAATATGTAATTTGATATCACAGATGTATATGTATATTTAGTATTAATAAGTCCACAAACTTGTAAAATAACTCTTTAATATAATAATGGCATTTAAGAAACTAGAATTATCAATGTAAAAATTTAAGAAACTAGAATTATCAATGTAAAAATTTAAGAAACTAGAATTATCAATGTTATGAAATGAATGCAGTCATGTGGCACATTTTAGAAATAAAAAAATAAAATAATGTAAACCAACAACAACAGTACTACTGGATTGTAAAAGACATGTTATAAAATATAAGAATTTTGAAATTTTGCAAAAAAATCAATATTGCAGTAATAAAAGATAAGTTAATGTATTGTCGTATGAGACCCGGTGTAGCATGGTATTCTGAAGCATGACTAAATGAAGCGGGGTCAAAAACAAAAATGGTGAAGTGGACCGCAATTTATCTCATTGTTATAATGAATGAAACCCCCTTCATGGTTGAGTGAGAACGTTTCATGTTTTATTTAATTTAATTTCCCTCGCTTAATTTTTGTATCATATATATGTCCCTTTACATATGAGAAAATAAGCATTTGTTTAATATAAAGCAGCTTCACTAAAACATCTGGAAGGAGGGGGAGTGGGAGGGGAGGAAGGGGGAGGGGGAGGGGAGGAAGGGGGAGGGAGGGGGGAGCACATTTCACCATACTGCATTGTATAGTGTACCACAATCCACTTCATCACACTACACCAGAACTGTTCTATTTTCTAGGCTTATACATCTATTTCACTTCCTTATGGCACTAAGTCAAACATTGTGCATGTGATTGTGCGTAAACAATATATATAAATACTCTCATATAATATTTCAATCTATCTGTATAGTTATAATTATACTCTAACAAAATATACACGATAGATAACAACATTTCTTACAGATAACCACATGAAAAAATCTATCACAAACCTTACTGATAACTTTTCTCACTGCCACTAAAATGTTATACAAACAGAAACAGCCATCAGGTTATTTCATCAGATAAGGCACAACAACATCAATTAGTTACACGTAGCCATAGACATTGATGTGGTAAAAATGTTTTTACATAACCCTCAGATCAAACATGTTTTAATATCTCTTACCAAAATACCATATTATTATGCTATATCAAAGAGAGGTGTTTTTATAAACCGTCAACAATTAATTTTTGATCACAGACACCAGACAAATAAATGTACGAAATCATTCTACATTTTGTACAATGAATGATAATTGATTTATTATGCTAAGGGTTGTAACATTCATTAAAAGAACATGTGGATGTTCCAGAACACCTTAATAATTCAGGCATGTAAACATATAAAAATACACTATAAAGTATTCTGGTTGATACAAACATAAATATATTGTATATCTGTGATACTTATTATATGTTGATGTGTGTCAGTGCTTGCGTATAAATTCAATTTTCGATTCTATTTATTCTCCATTAATGTATCATTCATTTACCGGTATGCTTGTAATTAATGTTTCTGTAGATCTGATGATAAAATATCTAAATAAGAATCGTGCATGATGATAAATAAAAGTGACAATCAATATTAATTAGATACTCTAATTGGAAAGTTTGATATGATTGGTAAAAATGTAAAAAAAATCTTTGATAAATCATAATATCAGTCTTCACAATGGATCTTAATGTTTTCATGCCATGTAATTAATAGTTATATATAAAACATACACACCGGACTGCCATATCTATAATTCCCTGTAAAGTTCGTCACATCTGAGTTCATCTCACCTCTTTGTAGTATTACTGATTAGGTTCATTTACATGAACATTTACAATGTGTTATATACCCAGGGCGAGAGAATTATTCTCATAAGTTTATAATTATGATCTATAATCAGCTGCTGCTGTTCTATACCTACATATGGTATTTTGCATACTCGATCTGTTTCTGTACTTAAATTTGTACTGATAATCTCAGGTAAAACAACTTAAAAAAGGCCAATTTTATGTCTGTAAACAAAACAAAAGTCAGAATTTTCAGTCTTGAAGAAATTCTGTGAAGGAATTTGTTGTGATATTCTGACAACTCAGTGTTATTGAGACAGCTATGAAGTGGAGGTGAACATAATTTCAAAAAACACTCAGTTTATACAATGTATATTCCACAACCTTAAGAAAACATTACAGAATTCAAATTTATATGACCATCCTTCTTTTGCATAGACAAGATCTAAATTTTCTTTTCAATTTAATCTTACATTCAACTGTTTGTGATAATCTACAAAATTATAAGTTTACAGAAGGACACAGGAAGAGGATTTCTGATTTGCCGGACTCCTCTGTTGCTGTGCATGATGTCCATAAGACTGAGACTGAGGATAGGGCTGAGTTTGAGGATAGGGCTGGGCTTGTTGGTATGGTTGAGCTTGTTGGTACGGTTGAGCTTGTTGGTACGGTTGAGCTTGTTGGTACGGTTGAGATTGTGTGTAGGGCTGTGTTTGGTGTGGTTGTGTTTGTAGCTGTTGTTGTGTTTGTCCATACTGTGGGTTTGGTTTGTACGGTGGAGGTGCCTTTTCTGGATTTGGTGCAGATTCTTCATCTTCCTTTTTCTTTGGAACATATCCAATTGTATTTGGCACATTTTCCATGATCTTGTCTAGTAGCTCATCAAATTTATCCCCAGTCCATGTCTTTTGAACTTCCTCATCACGGTAGAAATTAATGAACAGAAGCTGTGTAAAGACCATGCTCATAGGTCCACTTGGTGGCCAGTCCATCTTTTCCAAAAGAAGAGGGACGACAGGCTTCTTTAATGAATCAGCCAGACTGACTTCTCGTCTACAATTGGCAGAGACTGCGTACTTGGTGGTCACACAGCTTAGGACAATCTTACAACCTCGGACACCTCGGTCAATCTTGTCATACAGAGAGTCACCTCCTCCCATCTGGTAGATGTCCATCCAGCAGGTCAAACCAAGCTCACAAAGCCTCTTGTAGAGCTGTTTGATCTGTGTCTGTTTACCCCACTGGTAAGACAGGAATACATCTGGGGACTTACTAGTCTCCTCCTGGTAATCAAAATAGACTTATTTAGTATTTAGTAATATCATATAGTTGAAACACTTCAAAAAGTTTGGCATTTACAATGTACAATCATTATCAAACATTGTAAAAGAATATATATATTTAGTAAAAGAGCTGTACAAAATTGATCCTTAATATATTCTGAGTTACAAGGTATGAAATGTACATTGTTGTATATTGTATAGTGTGTGTTAGCGTCATACCTTTGCAGAACTGGAATTGGAATCAATTTGTCCTGTGTTTGACTTCTTGGTAATGATGATTTCCTCTGCCACAGGAACCCACCAGTTCTTGTATTCTGTTGACATAAAAATACATCAGCCAAAAAATGTTGAGGTATTTTCAATTGAAACATCAACATACTTTCAAAGAATATCTAGATACTAACATATTTTTCTCTAATTAGTAGCAAACCTTAATCTATATTTTACTATGGAATAGATTTCTTCAAATTCTCATTACAAACATTCTGCAATTTTGCAAATAACAGCTGAAAATAATCATAATTTCTGTGCTGTTTCAATTTTTCACAAAATAAGAAAAACATTATTGGCTGTTCTAGCTATCTTTTTACTGACCTTTCTTAATGAGTGATTCATCAGGCATGGCTTTGTATATGTTGAGTTGCATCAAAAGTTCCTGAAATTTTGGAACTGGCCAGTAACGCTTGTCTTCTGTTTCCTCCCCTCCTCGCTGGAAAAATCTCACAAACAAGTACTCACTGAAGATGGGTCCCATGGAGCCCTGGGGAGGCCAGGCCATTTTCTCCATCAGGAGAGGAATCATGGGTTTCCCTAGGTTTACAGACAGGTTCACCTGCGAGTGGAGGCATAAATCAAGACAGTAAGTGTGGATATGAATTAAAAATCTACACAAGGTGTTCTTTTTAAGAGTGAAGGTAATAACACCATTCCTGAACAGGACATTTTGATGGTAAGCTTAATAATAAATTCCATTGTGACTTGTGTTCTACTTGGAAGATGTTGTATTGGGCAGTCAGTCAATGATATTTTGGATGGTAAAATGTTAGTCTTTTAATACATGTATTTTTTAAAATTAAGGTACATTAGTCTGGTCATCTATCAATACCTCACCTCTCTATTACAGTTAGGAGATTTGGCGTACTTCTGAGATACACAGCATATGACAACCTTAGATCCTCTAATCCCATTGTCAATCTTTTCAAACAGTTTATCCCCACCTCCCATTTGTCCAACATCCATCCAGCATTCATAGCCAGCCATGAGAAGGTGTTGTCGTAGTAACTTGACCTCGTTCTGGTGACCCCATTGGTAGCTAAGGAAGATCGGTGGAGGTTTGGTGTATTCTTTGGCCTCCACCACAACATCCTCTGTTAAGCAAATTCAAAGGAAAATAGTAATATACATTTTCAATCATCTTCCAGGATCACTTTCTGAAAAGATAAAAATATGGATTATTGTCTTGCTTTCATGTAAATATATTTATATCTAGGAAACAAAAACAGTACCAACCTACTGCCTTCATAGCATTCTCTACAATGACTGCAGCATCCAGTCTGTTCATGTCTTGTAGAATGGTCAGTACTGCATGGGTGGCTTCAGCTGTCTTGTGGGTGGCATACCACTCACTAAGAAGGGACATGCAGGGGTCATTCTGGGTGGCCCATGCTCGGATGTCCCTCGGTGAATATCCAAGACGCTGGGCCAACAACCTCCAATCATGGTCAGATTTTGGGTTCATCAACTTGGAAAGATCTCTGGACCAAGCTGGAGCGTTGCTCATTGCCTGTAATATGTGTATGTATAAGTTTTGATGCGATTCCCAGTTTTCATTTTTCGATGGTGTCGTTAACGTATTGACAAATACTACATGAAATATAAATATGTATTTAACAAAGTCTCCTTTCATGTCTTTAACAATTATTTTCTACAGTATTACACATACCTGGTAATCTAACTAGAACATGTTTAGTACACATGTACAAAGAAGACAAAGTGGGATAAGGTTAACATTTGTTTATAATCATGATAATTTTCAGGTAGATATAAAACTTATGACATTTTCTATTTGAATGCACTTTTAGCTCATATCAATCTATGATCATGAAAATCTTAATATAGTTATGTCTTATAATGGAAACACAATACTCTACCATGTTGTCAAGTTCTTCCACCTTCTGCTTGGTATCGTCAATATCTTGCTGCATCCCATCCACACGTTTGTTGACCATTTTAAGTCCAGTTTTCATGGTTTTGATTTCTCGGCCATGCCTATCAACCGTTACCTTTAAGCCTTTGACCTCTACCTCAGTTTTAGTGACCCTCTCATCAAGTTCCCCAACCTGTCTCTTGATATGTATGACTTCAGTGGTGATGCCTGTCATACTGAAAATGATCAATGGTGGTTCTCGTTAGATGTAGTACATGTGAATAATATAAGAATTTACTTTGTTTTACATTGAAATTTTAAGGAGAAAAAATATGACTCTACACTTCTCATATAGACAAGGCACTGTATACTTAAAAAACCAAGTAAACTGAAAGTAACTTATAAAATATCAAAGATAAAAGTATATTGCCAGATAGCAAGTTACTGATATTAATAACAATCAAAGCATAAATATCTTATCCTACATTTCATTTGTTTTTAAATACAAAGACAAATATCTTTTGAATAAATTTAAACTCGTTAATATACACATTTTATTGGGAGACAGGAATTGAAGTTTTGAATTGAAAAAATAATTACACAAAGACAGTACCTGACACCATCCATGGCATTTACTATGGCAGTAGCCATGTCTTTGACAGAGGAATTTTGTCCATTTTTCTGCAAGTCTTCAAAGAACTTGCGATCTGGTCTTAGACTGTCTACACCATACTTGGCGCCCAATGTTCGGAGGGAATCTACAAGAGCTGCTTGTTGATTGGCGTCCTTTGCTTGTTTTACTAGAACAACCAACTCTTTAATCAAGCTATCTGCTAGTGCCTGAAACAAATCATAGAAAAAAATCTTCATAATTTTCCATTACTGAAATTCAGATAAACCGTTCTACCTGTAAAAAATCAATTAAAATCCACTTTTCTATTAAACATGTCAGTCAAAGACCTAATTTATTAAACCGAGACTAAACATGTAACACATAAAAACATACCTGTTTTTTCAGACCCAAGTTGACACAGATCACTTGGATTGAAGCAGCATTTTTCAGGTCTAGTTTTGGATTCTGCAGGACATTATTCAGTATGTTATTTCCAAATAGTTCGGGCTGTTCCGGAATGATGTCACCCAGGGCTATCAGTAGGACGATTTGTGTCTCATTGTTTGGCATAAAATGCTTGATCATGTAGTCAATATGGCTTTGTGTGAAGAGCTGCACAACAGAAATAAAACATCATTATATCACAACATATGTCTAATCTGACCCCTCTGTGACCTGACATTGAGGAATGTCTACACCAACTTGTGACATCAGCCTAGATAACTGAAGTTAATACTGAAGACACTGAACCAATGTCAGATTATTCAAAATATCTCTTTCCTTACTTCATTAGCTTGAAGTTGTCTTGTGACCTACCTCTGGTTGATCCTCAGCCAGCAGTTTTATTAAGAGAGCCTGGAAAACAGCGTTAGTTTGATCCGAGTCCTCTTCTATTGCTGACATCACCATATTAAACTCTGGTTGTGTAAATCCAATACTTTCCTCATAGGGCTTAGGGATAGCATCTGACAAACACAGACATATTATACATTTTATCTATCACATCAAATTTTGATAAGAGATTATAGGGTTATCTTATTCCTACTGTTTTGGACTAATTATAATTAACAATCTGAAGTCATGTTACCAAGTACGAAAAAAAAGACTCCTACATACTGTTTTAAAAATCATGTAAAGTTTCCACACAAAAAAAAAAACATACGTTGAAGATCATGGCACTTTTAAGGACTTGCCAATATGTTTTTTATTTCAATAAGATATTTTTATTCAACAATGGGATATTAAACAACAACAAAGACTAACACATTAACAGAGTCTCAATTCAAATTTATTTCTTATTTCACCATTCAAAACTTGACAGAATAGGAACAAAGTAAAGATTTACACAGAGACTCCTGAAAAGGTATGAGAATAAGACCAGGTATTCTGGAAGGATAAGTGCCTTCTGCTTCATTTGTGACATATGATATAAACACTTAGATTTTATATAGACATCTGCATTAGGCAATGTCAGAAAACTATTTCTTGGTAATAACTTTCAATGATGAAAGAGAAAAAATTTATACAACAAATACATAGATATTAATGCATGCAATTTACAGTTCCTGCTGTTATTTCATATATATTTGAAATTAAGAAATATTGATAATAAAATTATTTGTAAATTTCATGTTGCTACATACTTAGAGCTAAAGTGGTATGTTGTGTGCTGTACCACTCTGCTAGAGCACCCATTTCACTGGCCATGAGTTTAGGATCTTGACGGCAGATATGACTGATGATGGGGAAGCTTGCATTGGCAAGCATTTCATCCTGATGTTTCATCTGTTTGACAATGGCTGGTACCAGTTGTGCACACACATGAGAGCTGTCTGTCCCAACATGCTGGGAAAGAAAACATACATTTGTAGGTCACTATACTAAAGTTAATATGAACAGCTCCAAAGGGTTACTATCCCAACAAGTGTTTATGAAGTAGTACTTCAAAGATAACCCCACTTTGCTATGTCTTTGGAGGAAATTTATCTAATCATTGTTAAGTATATCTGTACATGTAATTAACATAATAGTTTTGATACATAATTTCTTCAGCAAGTCTTTAACAAATCAATTACCGGGGTAAGGTACATGTATTATGATTAAGCACCAAAACCATATAGAAATACTCTCACATGTATATCTCACACACAATTTCTAACCTTTGAAACAAAAACACTGAGGTACTGAGTGGCAGCTAAGCCATACATTGTTGCAGTTCCATGTTCCATTTCTATATAGTCCAAGTCTTCTGTCTGCATGGCATATAGAAACATCTTTATCAGGCTTATATTGACTTCACCTGGTATCTCCTTGCCAGCACTGAAATTATTTGGTTTTCATAATATCATAACATAGAAGAATAAATAATCATATAAGTTTTTTATTTCTGAAGCATTGTCAACGGCCAGCTGATAAATTCTTGCATTATTCAGGACATGACCAACACTCAAACAGTTTGGTCAACACTACTGCAGCGTGGTCAACACTCCTACAATGTGGTCAACACTGTAACTGTATCCTCTTCCATGTTCCACTTAATTCATATATTATCCCTTTACAGTTAACAGTCTTTAAACTTCAGTTAAAGGTGTAGAAAAATCCAGATACAATATCCATCTAGATGGACTTTATTGTATAGTGAAAAGTTAGATATTCCTGTAAGACAAAGATTTTGTTATTTCCTAAAATTCACCGTTTTCGTTGGGGTTTTTTTTATTTATTTTATTTCTCAACAAAACATTAAAATTGTGCCCTTTCATAAGAGAAAGTTTGTGCGCCATTCATCATTTACATATTTTAAATTGAGGAACTTAGTTTGATTGTTATTATAAAGGGACATGACAGTTTCCAGGTGATATCATAGGCACCTCAATTCATAAAATATTACATTTTAGTATAGTTGACAAGAAATTATTATCATACATCTTCATAACTAGTAATAACTCAATTTTGTCCATGTGTAAAGAATATGGTTTCTACATGACCACTACATGTACCATCTATTTTTGGAACACTCCTCCACATTCAAACATTTAGCGGATGCATAACATGGATATAGAAAATGAACAGTTTATTAATCTGCAAAATCAATGAAAATATGACTACCAATACTGAAATAAATCATTTACAACTACAGACTGTGGAGCGGTTTGCAAATTAAGTTTAACAAATATAAACAGAAAGACCAAAAGAGTGTTTTCTCCTAATTAGTTTACAACAGAATCTACCCCAAGAAAGCTGCTTTCCACTACCTGATTTAGAGAGAATTTTCTATGTCTTCCCTAATGGTGGAAAGGAAAATCTTTCTCTTTATTTCACTGTATTACAGCAGTAGAAAGACTGATCTCTTTGTGTATTATTACCTATAGGCCTCAATGATCTTCAACAAAATAAAACTTCCCGACTTCTGTGTAGGAAAATCATCCCAAATATACTCCTCATCACAGAACAACACTGACAACCTCTCAGTCACATTAGGAATCACATGCTTGGATTTCTGAAACAAAAATACTGCTTTCTAAAACTTCCTCCAAATCATTCCAAATTAAAACATGGTTAAATTTCAAACGTTCATTAACCTTGACACATTTTCTTGGATTAAAGTTTTTGTATTCCTAAGTTACTGACTGTGATTACTGTGTAAATGTTTTTTTATCAGAAGCAACATCACAAAATTAAAATCTTTAAATTTTGATAATCCTTTTGAAGAATGATAATAAAGTAATGTGTATTCACTATAATATGTTGTTGGTCTGTTGATCTACTTGACATGTTACCTCGAGAGATATTCTCACAACAAAGGCCTCAATGAACTTGTTCAAAGACTTGGACCGATTCTCCATCATAGTTATAGCAAGTTCTGCTATCTCACCATTGATTTTTTCTTGAATATTCGCCAAACTGTAAAAAATGTAGTTGCTTTTATGAAAAATATAAACAAATGAAGTCTAGAATTGTTTAGAAATTGTTTTTTTTTTACAATAATGATGAAGTGATTGATAGTATAACTTTCTATTGTAATTAAATATGGAACACTGAATATTACATATTCTGTCTGGTTTTCATTACAAAACTGTCAGTAAAACAACTTGATAAGAAAACATCTTAGCCTACAAACATATATTTCACATATTTTTCTAAAAGTACCATTGTATCAAAACTACAAGGTGTATTAACTTTCATGTACATTGTAGGTACATGAAACTTGTCAAGTAAATATCGTGCTATAGAAGTATTTATATAATGTTTTCACCAAATACTCTTGAGCTTGCCAAAAATTTCCACTATTTCAACATAGATGTATAAGATACCAATTAGATAACATCTTCAAAATCTATAGATCTATATAGAAAATTAACACTGTAGATACACATATTTCTGTCAAAGAAAAGTCAATGTAGGTCTGAACAATGTTTATAACCAATTCAAAATTCCCAAAAGTATACACACGAGAACTGTTCCAGAAGATAGGCAATAGCAAGTCCATAGTAAGTTAGCATCTTTTCAGATTCTTCATAGTTTACGTTTTTGGTCAATTGGTATTGGCTGATAAACTGGATGATTTCCTGAGCCTCCAGGAAGTTTTTCTGATGAGAAACACAGGAAAGATTTTGTTTAACATATACGTAAAGTAACCATGATTAAATATTTGAAATTCTCTAAATTTCTGGAAACAAAAGGCAAAATGCACCTGAAATTTAAACTGAAATGTTACAATAGGTTAAATGTCATACTTTCCAATTCCAAATCTTCTTGAACTTTCCTTCCTGCAGTAGATCAGAACATTTCCACACTCCCCACTCCTTTCCAGATTTTAGGAACGCTTTCACAATTGGTATCCAACCAGTTGCTGATCCTTTCCTGGCAAATAGAGCATTACATATCATTCACAAGTCTAGTCAACCATGACATGGACAATAAATCTGTCTATTGACCAGACAAATTGGTTCTCTCAGACTTCTTCATTGGGAAATTATTCTCAAAATACTTCAGGGCAGCACATCTGAAAATCTTTTATCTGATATAAATGCAAATTTAAAGGAGTATTTTACTTACTTTAAAGTGCATTTCTTCTGCATAATTCCAGCAACATTTGCTACCCAATTAAAGTGTGGAGGGCACTTCTGGATAATTTCTGGGACCATGGGCAGCAGTTTGTCCACAAGTTGAGGGTTTGTCTAGATATGAAATTAATATATTGTTTAGTTATTATTTTTTATGGAATATATATCACATAGTCTAGTTTACATAAAAACTTTAATGTCACTGAAGTTCCAGTTATCATATCTGATATGAACAGGAAAAAAATTAAAGTAGTTTGATTGTGGGTAAGTCTAAATAAATGGCAACTGGATTGTAGGGTAACAAGATTAGTGATGTCTAGATTGTGAAAGTACCAGAATAGCAATAACTAGATATAGATAGATGTGGCCTGACTTTATACACTTCTACAATTGTAAATGAACACAACACAATTAATGGAAAGTCTTTTTAAAAATGATTAAAAAAAATTGATCTAAAGTGATGTTGTGATACACGACCTTTGATTTTGACCTCTTCATTTTTGTGACATTAAACATTTTGGTAATTCCCTTTTTATACATAGACATCAAACATGTTCATATTCAACCATGTTTATAGAGACTAGTAATGGTGACACTTAAACTATATCTATTTTTTATAAGCAGAGCTGAAGAAAAGAACTTAATTGACAGTTTTATGGGGTATTCCTTCAATTATTCTTAATTAAAGGAATTTTAATGACCTTTATTAATAGTTTTCATAAACCAATGACAAGAATTAATGACATGGATTAACAGGTTTATACATTTTAATGAGAAATTAATGGGAAATTAATGGCAATTTAAATGAGTCTGCATACAGCAGTGGAATTTGAACTAAGACATGGACCCAATAGAAATATAATTACATACCATGTATATGTCTGTTGGAGTTTTTTCCATCAACTCAAGGAATGACGACAATATTGGTAGTTTGTCCGGATGAGTTTCACAGTTAACAAGTGAGTATTGTCGCACAAGGTCCACCATGTCATCCCATCTTTCAGCAGTCCAGCCTTTTCTCCTGCAAAGGGACAACAGTCAGCAACCTTTAACTAGGGTTTTAGAAACATGTCTTTTAATGACCAATTCATTATCAACTGTGACGCAGAAAGGAGAAGTCATCTCTACAGAAGATATGAACAACAATTGTTATCTTATTGTATTTGTACACGTGTTACTAGCAGTAAAAACTGGGTCAAGATATGATCACCAATTTAGGGACAATCAACATTCAAAACTTCACACTTGGCAATCAATACAAAGATAATTGTCAGAATCTGCATGCAGATCTCAAAACTGTTTTCTGGCATGAGTACTATACTAAGACATATTTGGAAATAACAGAATCATATCTGACTTATTTATGTCAATGATAATAACAAAAATACAAATATGATAAACAGTAACAGTTATAGTGGAAATGATCAGTTAATCATATTATGTATAAAAGGGCATGGACAATGAATTTTACAAAAAGGCACTACATATAAACCTGAACCTGACAGACTTTCTAGGCATGGACAATGTATGTTACAAAAAGACACTACATATAAACCTACACCTGACAGACTTTCTAGGCATGGACAATGTATGTTACAAAAAGGCACTACATATAAACCTGAACCTGACAGACTTTCTAGGCATGGACAATGTATGTTACAAAAAGACACTACATATAAACCTACACCTGACAGACTTTCTAGGCATGGACAATGTATGTTACAAAAAGGCACTACATATAAACCTGAACCTGACAGACTTTCTAGGCATGGACAATGTATGTTACAAAAAGACACTACATATAAACCTACACCTGACAGACTTTCTAGGCATGGACAATGTATGTTACAAAAAGACACTACATATAAACCTGAACCTGACAGACTTTCTAGGCATGGACAATGAATGTTACAAAAAGGCACTACATATAAACCTGAACCTGACAGACTTTCTAGGCATGGACAATGTATGTTACAAAAAGACACTACATATAAACCTACACCTGACAGACTTTCTAGGCATGGACAATGTATGTTACAAGAAGGCACTACATATAAACCTGAACCTGACAGACTTTCTAGGCATGGACAATGTATGTTACAAAAAGACACTACATATAAACCTACACCTGACAGACTTTCTAGGCATGGACAATGTATGTTACAAAAAGACACTACATATAAACCTGAACCTGACAGACTTTCTAGGCATGGACAATGAATGTTACAAAAAGGCACTACATATAAACCTACACCTGACAGACTTTCTAGGCATGGACAATGTATGTTACAAAAAGACACTACATATAAACCTGAACCTGACAGACTTTCTAGGCATGGACAATGTATGTTACAAAAAGACACTACATATAAACCTGAACCTGACAGACTTTCTAGGCATGGACAATGTATGTTACAAAAAGACACTACATATAAACCTGAACCTGACAGGCTTTCTGTAAAGTTAGGTTCAGTGTTAGATCAGAGAAATTCCGGAGCAAACTGACTAAAACAATAAACATCCTGTCACTATATTTACCCAATCGTGTCTATCATTAAGCTGATCATCTTCGCTGCCTTCTTGACTTCAACCTTTTGCTGGTTTGCCTGGTCGCTAGTCACTAGTGCTTTTTTCTGGTCCCAATGTTTGAGTACAGTGTCAACATTATCTAATGACTAAAACAGAAACGCAAAAATTAAATGTAACACATTGTTCAGAATGCTTTCCCAAATAAAATGTGACTGTCAAATATTCAGCTCATCACTTAGTCCTCTATCTCCATTTCTTCTTCCAAATTTCTTACTACAAATAGTTATAACTCAACGACAAACAAATAAAAACACAAAAACAAATTGACAGCAAAACAAATTACTTTGGGATAAATTTGAATTATTCTACATATTATGAACACAAAAAAAAATCATATAAATCACAATATCAAAAATAATAGAGATTCTAAAGAAAGCAAATATCTGGGGTTTTGTTGTTGGTTTCTTTTGTTTTTGTTTTAACATTCGTTTTTTTTATCATCGAGACTGTAACTCGTGTCATTATAGAGACACAAGGATCACAATACCTATAAAGCAAATGTTTAACAGTCAAATTATCAGTGACCTTGAACTCTTTGGATAAACTTTGAAAAGGTTCCTTATAACTAATTGTGAATTGGATCTTTTTAATTTCTCTCCTTTTTTATTTTCTCATTTTGTTGAGTTACCTTGAGGGGAGTTTTTCCTAGTTCCTATCTGATAGCGTGAGGGGCATTAACAGAATTATGTTTTGTACATTTGTATATACTTATAAACAGCCATCAAATTTGATATCAGCTTTGTGTTTGTTAACGTGAGCACAAGCCTTCATCTATAAAGATCATAAGGAAACTTACACAAACATATCACTGCCTTTTATGTATAGCTACAAACACTCACTCAACACATGTGCTCACCTCACATATATTGGGCAGTCATTCTTAAATGACCATAGATATTAAACAACATAAAACCAAACAATATCCACTTGATCCTTGTATTCTAAAAAACTTCTATCCCTGGTGCAGTTTAATGACTATTAATTCTTAAGAAATCATAAATTAAATTCAATGGATGGTATCACGTAACAAAACACAGGTTTTCTCACATAGAATAAATGTTTTTTCTGCCCTAACTCCAAAAGTAGAATCCTAGATTCTTAGCTATTCTTCTAACTGAATTGCTATTGTGAAAAGAAAATATAAAGTTTAATAGGAAATCTGTTTTCATCGTGCAATAGGCCACAAGGTCATAAACCAATACCACTGACTTAAGGTTGAATGTTTGTTATGATAGAACAGTGGAGATTTCAGGAGATAGATCTACAGAGTAGTATATTTTAAACACAGACTGATGAGAGGATGATGATTTATCTTTAGAATTACATGCTGTCTCACCTCGTATGGATTGCCTTTCATGTTCCCTCCACATTTCTTTTCTATCATATACATAATTGTCTCAATTTGTGAGTTGTATTCTTTGGGTGATACAGCGATTTCACTGGAGTAGAACATATAAAGATCCAAGAACTGCTCCTGAACTCCTTTTGCCTTCAGCTTCTCAGATTGGTTTCCCTCCCTAAAATATAAGTATGGCACCAATGACAAAAAGGTCAAAGGTCATCATATATGATAATTTCATTTGTTACAGTTGGTAGTTAGGTATTGACAGGTAGTTTTATTAGAATTAAGAAACATATTCTTAGTGTATGATTTTTTCTTACCAGCATTCCAAATGGTAATATTAGAGGCATTACAGACAGTTAATTTCTCTTATTCTTAAAAGCTTTTATTATATCCTATATAGAAAAAGCAAAGACGTTTCTTCATCCAGATATTGTGGGTACATTTCTGTATGTCATTAGATTTTAGGTCAAATATAAAGTATTTGTTATTAGTGAAAAGCTTAAGTTTACCCCAATATTAATTCAACAACTCGTGTAACACAATCACCCCAGTCACGAGCCTGTTGCTGGAGTGAACACCCATGCTCTGGGACGTGTGACCACTGCATCAAAGTGTTGATAACTCTTGTCAAGTCTGGTCCTTTAAGTCCCTATAAAACACCCAACATAACACAGATTTTCATTTCATACATTGTAACTAGTTTTCAAATGTCACCCCAAAAACTAATTACCAGGTATATTTCTTGATAATACAATGCACATATTTTTTTGTGTTAAATTCTAAATACAACAGTTTCAGAGAAATGAACCTTTTTATAAAATGAGCACCTTCACATCAATATAAGTAGTTTTCGACAACTATATCCTGTAAGTGCAAATCTTCATTTGGGTTTTTAAAATTTTTATTCTGCCTTTAAATTTGAGTCACCTACCTTTCAAGAATATGTAAATCAATAGAAGTAAGTGTTTACCTGTAAGTATATTACTCATATTTTGGAAAGGATCACATTTTTGTACCACAGGAAAATGGTTACCTTTAATATCGGTTACAAAGAGGTATTTCTTCAACTGAACAAAACTTGTCCTTAATAAACTTATTGGGCTTTTGATACAATATGATGCCCATGAGCATTAATATACACCCACAAAATGTCTGTGCATGTCCAAATGAGATTGTAAATCTGCTTTTGTGGAATAGTGTTCCATTTACTAAAGCTGTTTCCAGCTCATGAAGTGTCTATGGCTGAACCTTTCTGGCACAGAGAGAGAGCTGTCTGCAGCAAGTCCCACTGATGCTCAATCATATTAAGATCCGACGAGTGAGCTGGCCAATCCCTTCATTGAATGGTCTCTTACTTTAGATACTGCTCAGTAACCTTTGCTCTAGGTGATCTAAAATTATCACTCAGAAGGATAAAGTCAAGGTCAATAGCTCTAGTGTAGGGTCTGACAAAGGAACAAAGGATTTCATTGCAATAAATCTGGGTACCATTTCACAAGATATGAAGCTGAACTTTCCCACTAAGGCCTATACTTTTTCACTGAACCTCCACAACATCAGTGATCGTCAAAAACGTTATCTGCCTGGAACCTATCCCGAGGTTGTCTCCATACCAAGTGCTCCAAAGTGTCTATTGGTGAAATCAAGACAGAATCTGGGCTCATCAGTAAAAAGAAGTGGTTTCCATTCCTGAAGAATCCAAGAGCTGTGAGCTTGGGCCCAGTCGAATTGGTCTCTAACATAGCAGTCAGACAAGGGAACTAGTATTGTTGGTCTATGTGACCTTAAACCAGGATCATTAAGATGGTTCCTAACTTTCAGAGTGACTACCTATGTACCAAAAGAAGATAGAAAGTCATAGTTTTTAAAAATGTTGTATACACATGGAATTGCATGTACACACCTTTATGGTTGACTGAATAACATCCTTGCTGGAAGACTGATTTAGGAGGCTAACATGTCTTTCAAATGAAAATGGAAGGGTACTAATTTACTTACATTTGGATTTTTTCCCACAAAGCACATAACTAATGTGATCCTTAGCTAACTGTGAGTAGTATATTTACGATAACCACAAGTTACCTCTAAGTATTTATGGAAGCCAGAAGTTTCAATCATTCTGCGATGAATCATGAAGGCTGCAGTGTTATTTGGCCCTGTGTTCAATAAAGCCACCATACATTCCAGCATCATCTTATGTAATGTAGGCTTGTCCAGTCTCATACTTTGTATCAAGGAACTGAAATCATTAGAATAAAGCAAGTCTGCTTATATTTTAGAAATAATCCAGCAATTTGGGAGACTTTATTCAGTTATTGGTAACAATGATATTGTATTAAAGGTACACTTACGTAATCAAAATTTCCATATTAGTAT